CGAACTCATGGACCGCGAGATCGTGACCTGGCTGAAGTCAGACGCTTAACCGACTGCGCCACCCAGGCGCCCCAATTTTTTTTTTTTTTTTAAATGGAGCAAGCTAAAATACTTTTGCAGAAGAAACAGGAAAATCACTCAGAAAACAGCAAAAAACAAAACAAAACAAATCTTGGTGTCGTAGAACTTAACTATGTGTGACCTTATGGGAAACGAATTACTTACAGTTGATGCAGAAATTCTGAAGAGGAAAGGAAACCTTCTGTCAAATATCTTAGGAAATGAAAATAAACATTGTTGGGGCGCCTGGGTGGCGCAGTCAGTTAAGCGTCCGACTTCAGCCAGGTCACGATCTCGCGGTCCGGGAGTTCGACCCCCGCGTCAGGCTCAGAGCCTGGAGCCTGTTTCCGATTCTGTGTCTCCCTCTCTCTCTGCCCCTCCCCCGTTCATGCTCTGTCTCTCTCTGTCCCAAAAATAAATAAACGTTGAAAATAAACATTGTATCAGTTCCTCCCCCAGATGATTGTTATTGCGGGTTGACCCATACCCTTTTTGTCTTCTGAAGGAAGGTTTCTCTTGTGGCTTCTGGCATTGATCTCAAGTCAGCTTGGCTAAAGCAGGGCATCTATAAAACAGGCCTGAAGGGCTGTTTGGAAAGGAGGAAATAACTTAATTCAGAACTAATGTTCCAAAATGTTAAAACATGCTATTTTGTGATCAGGCTTCCACGATTCCATTATCCTGGTAAGTTGCCCACATTTGCTTGCCATTGCACGTATCATGGCTTCAGAAACTTGCCGGCAGTCCCTAGATGGAGGCCCTGGCTCAGAGGATGCCAGAGTCTGCATTTTCAACATCTCTAGCATCGAACTTCATTGTCATGTTTCTGGTATTCTTCCATTTTGTTTAGAAAACAGAAGCACTGCATTTTCCTCCCTTGGCCAAAATATCCCTCTTTTGCCTCTACTCCCTTCACCTTTATCCTTTGTCTTTCTCGGCCTTCTGTCCCTCCTCCAGACACGCCATTCTTCAGTGTGATTTCATTGCAAGTGAGGAAGACCTTCTCCCTCAATTCCCGGGGACAAGGATGTAGCGTTTTTCCTTGTGGAGGTGATTTGCACATGTTTTTATTTTTCAGTCTCTGGATTTTGGCCCAAGATAGCATCTTCTTAAGGTACACTTCCAGCAATCAAATGGCAACCCCCTTACCTAAGTATCAATTAACAGAAGTTCTGCAGAAACTTAAAACATTAGAGAGCTGTCTTGGCATTGGTAAATGTAAAATCCAAATCCTCTGTAGAGAAATGGAAAGAGCTGATAAGTTGCCACAGGTGTTTTTATGTTGAGAACAGGCTAATGTCGATGTCACGGTTCCTTTTCCAGTCCCATATAGAAATCATCCGTGGCCATGCAGCATTCACAAGTGATCCCAAGCCCACAGTAGAAGTCAGTGGGAACAAATACACTGCTCCTCACATCCTGATTGCCACTGGTGGCGTGCCCTCTCGTCCTCAGGAGAGCGAGATCCCTGGTGAGTCTTCTGAAGGCAAATGCTTGTTGGTAAGAGTCAAGAGGAGTTTACTGTTGTCTTCAACCTTACAAGCCATGCCAGGGGATCTGCCTATACCAGTTCTTTCTCTTGGACAAGGCCACACAGCTATGAGAGAAAGTCTCTGCAGAACCTAGATGTAATTGGGGTAAGTGGTAGCTCGTGATGGGGTGAAGAAAGATATTTCTTCCAGCTCCAAACGCATACATACTACAAGTAACACAGGAAGAAAAATCAGCAAAGAGTCTCTTCCTTTCCTTCTCAGCGTGGCAGAGATTGTCATCTGCCTGAATTTGTCACGTGGGTTGTTATTTACAAGACAGGTCTTGAGTTACTCTTTTGTTCAAGGGAGTGAAATCTTGTAGGGATGAAACTTAATTACCTATTAAGCCTCTGTGTGCAGTTTTCTTACATAGAGAATTCTAGAATTAAAGTAGTAAGTATTTTCAGGTAGTCATATTTGCTCTTGCATTTTGTGCACACAGGGATGAACCATGAACATACTGCCTTATTCTGACATAAGAAACATTGTTCATGTCTTTCTCCCCAACTAGATTATAAGGTCTTTCTGGGTGGTGATCATAGCTTATACATATTCTGTATTCTCCCTGGATTGGCTTCAGAAGACTCGTGACCAATCTGAATTTATATGGGAAATTTTGAGCGTATGTGCATTTATGTGTTTTATTCTCTCTGGGGAGAGGATCCAAAACTTGCCACTGGTTTTTAAAGGGGGTTCATGACTCCCAAAAGGTCAAGAACAACTACCATAAAAGATAGTAAGATGCTGTTCTCAAGTACCTTAAAATTTAGTTGGCAAGATTGGACATAAGCATCCTAATATGAAACAGTCTCCAGGATTGATAAGTCAAAAAAGCAAGGTGTGGAACAGCGTGTGTAGTATGCTCCGATTTGTGTCTTTCTGAAATTTCTGAAAAGGCAGGGAGACTATACACACACTGGAATATCTGTGGAAGGATACTCTAAGCCCTGTCATGCTGACTCTCTGAGGGTCCTAGAGGTTGAGGGTGGGAAGGACTTCTGCTTTTCACTAGATGCTCTGTTGTGCTTTTTGGATTTTTAAGATACATACATTTATTAATTTAAAACCTATAATAAAAACAAATGCAAAGAAATAAAAGGTAAGTGTTCCAAGTTTTGTTCTCTTTCTTTCTTTCTTTCTTTCTTTCTTTCTTTCTTTCTTTCTTTTATTTTTGAGAGAGAGAGAGAGAGAGAGCAGGGGAGGGGCCGAAAGAGAGGGAGACACAGAATCTGAAGCAAGGTCCACATTCCAAGCTGTTAGCACAGAGCCTGATGCGGGGGCTCGAACTCATGAACCATGAGATCATGACCTGGCTCAAGTTGGACACTTAACTGACTGAGCCCCCCAGATGCTCCCCTAGATGGTGTTTTCTAGACAGTGAGCCTTGGGTTGTTCACAGGTGGGACAGATTACTAAGGGATGGCATAAAGCAAAACAACTTTCCAGGAAAGGGGCTCACACACTGAGCGGTATATGCTGAGGAAGAGGAAGACCGAAAGAACCAGTGGGTAATAAAGATGTCTTCGAAGGAACCAGTTTTTCCAGCACTGAAGTTCTGGGGGCAAATTCATTAAGCTGAGACTGGAAGAGGGTCAGGGCCAAATTGTGGAGACTTACAGAGTTAAGTGAAGGAATCTATAATTCATGACAACTGGGTCAAATAATGGTTAGCTTATAAATAGGGTAGTGACAAGATCTACGTGATGATTTTAGAAAACTAATCTGACAGTGACTTACAACGGAGGGAGATCAGTTTAGGAAGCTGTCACAGTAGAATGTACAAGGGGTGAAGACATGGTTACGAAGCCCAGCATTAACATCTGACCTATATGGGAAAAGCTCAGTTCTGCAGACAGTTAACTGAGCCACTGTTCCATGCCAGCATCAGAGAAGAGAACGGGCATAACAGACTCTGAGAAGGGAGAGTCAGGTACTGTATTTCAGGACACATTACAAAAAGCATATTCATCACACCTGAAATCAGGATGTGTCCTTTCATCATGGTGCCTTGAATTTAGCAAAGTGCAAATTTTTTTTTTTCTTAAATATTTATTTTTGAGAGAGAGAAAGCTCAGGGGAGGGGCAGAGAGACAGAGAGAGACAGAGGATCTGAAGCAGGCTCTTGTGCTGACAGCAGCAAGCCTGACGTGGGGCTCAAACCCACGAACCGTGAGATCGTGACCTGAGCCAAAATTGGACACTTAACCGACTGAGCTACCCAGGCTGATTAGATATTGTGGTGGACCCTTGAGAGAAGGAATCACAGATTGACAACTTAGGACTTCATTTGGATTATTGGTGGAAGGTGGTCCATTCAACTGGTGAACTTGAGAGAGGGATACGGTTGGAACATAAGGTTTAGTTCTAAACGTACTGAGTTTGAGGCAAAGTAGAATTATATGGCAAGGCAGTTAGAAATATGGGACTGGAACTTAGGGAGAAGGTCACAACTAGGATATTTGGAAGTCATCTGCAGTGAGGGAAGAGTTGGTTGAAACTTTTGAAGAAAAATGGAGAAGAGGGTTGAGGCTGAGCCAAGGGTCAGGAGAGCGAAGCAGAGCTGACAGAGAGTCTATTCATGACGGCCAAGAAGATCCTAGTTCCTCAGAGAAATGTTAAAGGTGGTTGTTACTGCTCTTTTTTTATTCCTAGACAGAACAAACATGTGCACTCAGGGAAGACTGGGTTGGGAGGTTCCCAAGTAGAAACTTGGATAAAACTTGTTGAAACAGAATGTGATGGCTGAGAAAATGTCTGGGTCCTGTACGAAACGTTGATGTCGTTTTACAAGAGGAAGCTCAGTCTATGTGATCTGTATTGCATTTTCCTATATAGGTGCCAGCCTAGGAATTACCAGTGATGGATTTTTCCAACTGGAAGAATTGCCTGGGTAAGTTGGTTTCCTTCCCAACCTCAGTATTCCTTCTTCCTCATTCTCTCTAGCTAACATTTCTTCTTCCTCCCCTTCCCAACCGTTAAATGCAGGCATTCCTTGAATTGTCTTCTCCTACTTCTCTTTTTACAACTTTGGGTATCTCATCCACTAATACCCCAGTGAACGACTTGGATCTTTCATTGCACTTTTTTGGACCAGAATCAAATATAGGGTGGTTTTGGAGAATAAATAGTAAAGTCCTAAAATGATCTTCTTTCTTCACCTGGATACAGCATCAACTGATAATGTGTCTCAAGTAACTGATTCTGGTTTCCAAAGCAGCTAGTGCAAAGGGAATCTCCATGAATGAAGGCTTTGTCACTGTCACAAAAAAATAGGTTTTCTGAATTTGTCCTTTATGTGTGTTTGTCCAAAACCTTAGTATACATTTGTCATGGATTTAGATACATAGAGAAAAAAATATACTGAGGAAGATTGTTTCTCTAATTTGAAGAAGCTGCCAGTTGCAGGTTTTCTAGATGGAGGGAGCTTCCTTTCACTCCTGATAAGCAAGGACACGTAGGGGCTGGAGGAGGGACCCTTTTGGCCCAGGGACTGGCCTTTGTCCCCTTCTGAGTAGCACTCACGCTGGAATCAGTATTGCTCAATTCTGCTGCTCCCTCAGTGGTGCTGCCAGTCCAGTTGAGGTCTTAATCCTGTGTTTTTCTAAAGGCCTTCGTGGAGGGTGACTAATGATCCATGTCTATGCCTTTACCTTTAATGATCTGGAGCCACAGTTAATAAGGGGCAGGAGGGCTTCTCTGCAGTTCCATAGCTGCAGTGAAAACCTCCCATTGAGATATTTGGATCAGGCCATCTTCTGGCTTTGAGAAAAGCACAGTCTTTTTAGATTTGCTGTCTGCAGGGCATACAACTATGTTAGAGAACAGCTTTTCTTCCCTCACGATCCACCTTGTACTGTTTGGTTTTAGGATTGAATGATGACACATGTGAGAATGTTCCCATAAATGTGGTCATGACTTGTCATGTTTGGATGATGTAAGTCAATCTAGACTCACCCTCAGAGAAGCTTCTTTATAGATACTTGTCCATTAAAAATTTTTAAATAAATGATTTAGGGGTGCCTGGGTGGCTCAGTTGGTTAAGCGTTGGACTCTTGATTTCAGCTCAGGTCATTATCTCATGGTACACGAGATCGAGCCCCATGCTGGGTGCTGCCCTGACAGTGTGGAGCCTGCTTGGGATTCTTTCTCTGTCCCTCCTCTGCTCATGTTCTCCCTCTCAAAAATAAATAAATATTTTAAAAAATGCTAGCGGGGTGCCTGGGTGGCTCAGTCAGTTGAGCGTACGACTTTGGCTCAGGTCACGATCTTGTGGTTCATGAGTTCAAGCCTTGTGTTGGGCTCTGCCCCTCCCCTCCTCACACTCTGTCTCTCTCTCAAAAATAAACATTAAAAAAATTTTTTTTAATGCTACCAATACAAATTTAATAAATGAATTTATGCATTTTAGAAACAAAAGACTCGGGGAACATAGGAACTGAATGAACAATTTTTTTTTCTTCTTTTTGTAAGAGTCCTTTATCATTGTTAATTTGGTAAGTAAGTAATTGAAGAAAGAACAGATTCTGTAGGTAAGGTACCCTGTGCTATGGGCTGTATGATTCAGTTTTTGCCCTCATTGGGCTTTTTTTTTAAAGTTTATTTATTCTGACAGAGGGAGAGAAGGAGAATCTCAAGCAGGCTCTGCGCTGTCAGCACAGAACCCGACGCGTGGCTTGAACCCATGAACTGTGAGATCATAATCTGAGCTGAAATCAAGAGCCAGATGCTTAACCAACTGAACCACCCAGGCACTCCCTCATTGCACTTATGGTTGGGTGGAGGACGGGGCATCGACCTGTGGAATGTTGTGGTCCAAGTCATTCCAAGGGCCATAAATGATGAGACATGCTCTGGGAACTTGGAGGATATAAGATCATTTCTGGGGGATACTAAAGTGGTAAAAGGTAGAAGAGAGGTGCCTCTGGGAGCTGAGAGCAAAACACTGAGGTCACAGTTCTCTGAAGAAGCCAGCTTGTTTACACCTGTTTCTTATATGTCCCCTCTGCTTAGAAATATCCTCACTCCTGTAGGAGCTGCTCATCTTTCAGGAATCCAGAGTGTTTTCTGAGTCCTCGACCCTGCACACACTAACTGGTGACTCTGTGCTTTGGCACATGCCGGCATGTGTCTCCCCTCAGGAATTCCTCCAGGGTGGGAGCTGCTACCCACCCCGCCTAGTGCAATGCTTAACCAAAGTAGTAATAATAAGTGTTTGGGGAAGAAAAATGGGTAAGGGAAAGAACAAGGGGAGGGAAGACCCAAAGAAAGGAGAAGAGATCAAGTAGAGTAGAAAAGAGGGAGGTAGCACTGGAAGAAGAACTGTTCATTGGTTTCCAGGCTATGTAGACATTTCTCTTGTCAAATCCTGGGTTGTGAGATAAGCTGACTTGCAACCATTTGGGTTCACACTTCATCCTCTATCTAGATCAGAGCCTTCTGATGGCACAGACTCACGACATGGATACCTTACCATTAGAAGGTGGTAAAGAAGAGTTTCCTTTGTTCTTCCCAGATGGCCTATGTCTTTAAAATTTTTTTTTAATGTTTATTTTTTAGAGAGAGAGAGAGTGGGTAGGTGTGTGTGTGTGTGAGCAGGAAAGGGGCAGAGAGAGAAGGAGACACAGAATCCAAAGCAGGCTCCAGGCTCTGAGCTGTCAGCCCAGAGCCCAACACTGGGCTTGAACTCACCAACCATGAGATCATGACTTGAGCCAAAGTCGGACGCTTAACCTACTGAGCCACCCAGGTACCCCCAGATGGTTTACTTCTTATCCAAGCGTTATAATGATGTTCGAGGACTGTGCTTAAAGTGTTCAAGAACTCCAGCCTTGAATGGGATGGCTCCGCACTTACCTTGTAGGCTGCAGCTTGGAAGTACCCTTCGTTGCTCTAGGCCCAGGATCACCTTCACCACTGATTCTGACCCCTGTCAGCATTTATCTAGTGTTTAAGGTGCCTTCTTAGACCAAAATTTATGCAGGGAGTCTAGTTTTAATTCAGACCTGACAACTTAAATGGCTTGTTTTAACTGGCCTTTAACCTATTGCAAAGATTGGTAGAATTGAATAATGATCAAGGAGAAGTTCTGAGCAGGGAAGAATTGTGGTGAGCATGTTGCCAGTTTTAGTTTTAGGTGCAAAGGTCCCTCATGAGGTATCATCTCTAGTGTCAAAGGGTTTTTTTTGTTTTCTCTCTGAAGAAATGAGGCTAAAGAACTTTTAACAACTAACAATCTATTTCCCTTCTACAAAGGGATATTTTCCATGTAAAATTGCCATGTAGTATCCAGGATTGAATCTTGGAGCAGCAAAAGGAAATGAATGGAAACACTGGTGAAGTCTGAATAAAGCCTGGAGTTTAGTCAATAGCAGTGTACCAATGCCAATTTCTTAGTTTGGGTGATTGATACATGGGTTATGCAAGATGTTAACTTGTAGAAAAACTGGGCGGAGTGTATATGGGACGTCTCTGTGCTATCATTTCAAGTTTTCTGTAAATCTAAAACTATTCCAAAATAAGTTTATTTACAAAAATATTAACCCTCTATCTCATTTTAGTCGCAGTGTCATTGTCGGTGCGGGTTATATTGCTGTAGAGATAGCTGGGATTCTTTCTGCTCTGGGTTCAAAGACATCGCTGATGATACGCCATGATAAGGTAAATTCTGTCCTTTTCCCTTCCCTTTGCTTGATGTTAATCTTTTAAAAGTCCACACTTAAAATATTCTCTTATGTTGTCATTAAATATTAGGGTCCAAAGCATGTGGAGGTTGGTTGGTTTGTTCTGTGTGAAACCACAAAGGAGCTTTTGAGTTGGGCCTCATGTCCTTACCAGTTGCCAGTAGATGATAATGATTTTCATTTCATCAAACTGGTTGGTATTTTTTTCATGAAGTGCTAGATAATATCAGGTGCCTTAGTAAGGAAAGATGCAGGCTTAAATATAAATATTAGTTAAATTGAACAGACTGTCGGGTAATTTCTTATCCTGGAAATCAGTTTCACATGGTCAGGAGGTAGTGTTAGATTATTAACACTCAGTCAAAAAAATTTGCTAAATTCTTTGTATTAAAAGAAAACCTACCAAACCTACATGCATAATTGTGTTCATGGCAGCATTATTCACAATAGCCCAGAGGTAGAAACAACCCAAGTGTCCATTGACAGACAGATGAATACACAAAATGTGTATATCTGTGCAATGAAATATTTTTCAGCCTTAAAAGGACATTCTGACACATGCTATAGCATGGATGAACTTTGAGGACATCATGCCAAGTAAAATAAACCAGTCACAAAAAGATGTATCTGATGTGATTTCCACTTACATGAGGTATCTAGAGTAGTCAAGCTCAGAAAAACAAAAAGTAGAATGGTGGTTGCCAGGGGTTAGGTGCAGAAAGAAATGGGGAATTGTCTAAGGACAGGAGAAAAGTTTGGGAGACGGGTGGTACAACAAAGTGAAAATACATAACACTACGGAACTGTATCTGTAGAAATGGTTGAGTTGGTAAATTTAATGTCATGTATTTTTTACCACAATATAAAGATAATAATGATAGAGGCAGCTTATAGATCATCTTATTGAAATGTCATTGATAGATGAAATTAAGACCAAGCAAGGTTTTGTGACTATTAATTAGCATCATAACTGAGAGTCAGCTAAGATCTTAGAAAGCCCAGGCCAATACAGTTGACCCTTGGACAACTTGGGGGTTAGGGGTGCAGACGCTTTGTGCAGTGGAAAATCTGAGTGTAACTTTTGACTCCCTAAAAACTAATAGCCTCCTGTTAACCTTGACATGAAGCCTTACCAATAACATAAATAGTCAATTACCATATTTCATAAATGTGTTATGTATATATTTTTTAATGTTTTATTTTTGAGAGACAGTGCAAGCAGGGGAGGGACGGGGGGGGTGAACAGAGGATCCAAAGTAGGCTCTGTGCTGACAGCAGCAAGCCCAATGTGGGACTTGAACTCACGGACTGTGAGATCATGACCTGAGCCAAAGTCAGATGCTCAACTGACTGAATCACCTGGGCGCTTCTTGTATGTGTATTATATATCAAATCCTTAGAATAAAGTATGCTGGAGAAAAGAAAGTGTTACTAACAAAATCCTAAGAGAAGGTCACCTGGCTGGCTCAGTGGGTAGAGTACATGTGACTCATGATCTTGGGGTTATGAGTTCAAGCCCCACATTGGGCATAGAGCTTACTTGAAAAGAAAAAGAAAATCCTAAGAGAAAATACATTTACAGAATTGTACTGTAAAAAATCTGCATATAAGTGAACCTATGTAGTCCAAACATGTGCTCAAGGGTCAACAGTTTTTGTCTGCTAAAATGCAGCCTCTGTGTCTTACCTGGTGAAGTGTTACTTTATATTTTTAAATTAATCATGGAAGTACCACTGGATTTTGGTACAGTACTAGAGCTTTCAGAGACCTGGTTTGAGGCAATAGCAAGAGTGTTGGCCTAAGAATCTAGCTGACCTTAACAAGCGTGTGACTTGGGTAAGTCATTTAATGCTTCGAGGACAGGATTTATCAGATCCCTAACCACTCAGATGCTATGGTTCTAATTCTTGATTATTTGAGCAAATAGAAGGAGACAAGTTGATAACCCAGGTCAACATATACTCGAAGGAACTTTCTCTTTGGCTTTGAGACTTGTCATATAATTAACCCCCAGGAGAATAAGGAAACAAGCTGCAGCAGTTTGCCAATAGAGTGCATAATTCCTGCACTTGGAAAATAGGCTCATTTGCATCTGTACTTGGCCTTCCTGCCCTCCCTAAACCTCAATGCATCAGGCTCATTCTCCCTCTTTTCCCTGTCCTGGTATAACTCCGTTTTAGAACTATCCTATGAATAACTCAAGACCTCCCACCTTTTTTTTTTAAGTTTATTTATTTTGAGAGAGACAGACAGTGCATGTGCATGTGCACGAGTGAGAGGAAGATAGGGAGAGAGAGAATCTTAAGCAGGCTCTGCACTGTCAGCACAGAGCCCAACACGGGGCTCGAACTCAAGAGCCGTGAGATCAGGACCTGAGCCAAAGTCAGACGCTTAATCGACTGAGCCACCCAGGTGCCCCAAAACCTCCCATTTTTACCCTGCCTGGGGTTTGTTGCATGTTGATTATCACAAAGAAATCTCCAAGGCCATGTTCTTGACTCTTTTGCTTAGATAGGAGATTTGGCTAGAGAGATCCTCCCTTAAATCATATCAGAGTGGAAACTGCCCTGGAATACTGAAACAGGAAGGAGAATTTTTGGTCCCGAGATATAATTATGGAAAAGAGGAGCAAGTTTGTGAGAAGGACATGGCAAAGATAGTAGAAGCCTGAAGGTTGCCTGTTTAACTGTAAAACTGGAGTTGGTGAAGTCAGACATAATACAGGCATTGGTGGTGACGTAGGAAAATAGATTAAAACTCTACTTACAATATGGCTGTGAATGAAGAAAGAGATAGGGAGGATACTGATACTTGGCTCCCAAGTTTGTAACATATCTTTTTTTTTAATTTAAAGCCAAGTTAGTTAATATACAGTGTAATAATGATTTCAGGAATAGAATTTAGTGATTCATCACTTATATATAAGACCCTAGTGCTCATCCCAACAAGTGTCCTCCTTAATGCCCATCACTCCTTTAGCCCATCCTCCCACCCATCTCCACTCCAGCAACCCTCAGTTTGTTCACTGTATTTAAGAGTCTCTTAATGGTTTGTCTCCTTCTCTGTTTTTGTATTATTTTTGCTTCCCTTCCCTTATGTTCATCTGTTTTTTTTTTTTTTT